GAGTCGTTTCTACCTTCTCCTCTCTGTCAACGCTCTCTGGTTTCATTTAAAAGAGTCGATCATCAGATATTGTCCAAAAATTTAAAAATTTACAAAACTAAACATCCTACAGTATTTTTACAGTCTTTATTTTACAGTTACAATATTTGTTTATCAAATAAAGTCTAATGTTACATCTAGTCAGGGAACCCTTTAAGGTGTATTTCCTGGTTCTGGACACTGATTAGCTGGCTGTTGTGGTTTGCAGAAATAAAACCCCACTAATCAGCTGTGTCGAAGGGTTTTGKATGACTCACACATATCACTCAAACATTCACATATCATTGTTGTTAACTTGTGGTAGATCTGAACAGGTAAATGAGTATAAGAACAYACCATATATTTTTACACACTAATCAGGAATTAGTTCCTCTATTAGTACTTTAGGTTAACTTTGCCCACCACTGCAAACCACTATTTAAATGTTAAATGGTTTGTATATAGTACTTTATCACTATCCTATCAAATACTTGTGGACTCCAAAGTGCTTTACACTACAGTCATTCACACATTCATACACCCATTCACACACTGATGGTGGTAAGCTACATTGTAGCCACAGTTGCTCTGGCGCACACTGACATAGGCAGGGTTGCCATGCACTGGCACCACTGGACCCCATGACCACCACAAGCAGGCAAGGCAGGTGAAGTGTCTTGCCTAAGGACACAGTGACTGAGATGGACGGAACAGGGGATCGAACCAGCATCCCACCGGTTACCGGACGACACCCCAAACCATTCTGCCTAAAGATAWATTACTAGCTCTCGGAGGGGCAGCTTGGCCTGCAGTGTACAGACTTCTTCTCCTATGTGCATTAACAGTGTTGTCACATGTGCAGTGATTGATTTGTCACATGTACTGCTATATGTTCATCTACCATTCTACAGTAAACACCTGCATAGCAGACAGGTGGGACAGATCTGGTGTCAAGCTGGCATAGCTAGCTTACTACTGGCACAGCAATTGGCTTGACAACCAGATATGGGCCCGGTCGGGCAATGATGGCACTGTTTTTTAAGATGACTTGCTCCAACTGGCCCTGATGTGGATGGTTAATATGTTGCTGACCCATGCATTGACTTACTCTGGCAAACGAATCTGGGCCATCAAAGGGTAAAGGGTATTCTTTGGGGTATCTGGGCTGAGTGTTGAGTGCATTGTGTGGGCCCAAACTGGGCCTAACAAGTTTTGCTATGTGRGTCTAATGTTAAAAGGAGGTATTATTCAGTACATATAAACAAGACTATTACTTTGTCCCTGTGGGTTTCTGCAGACAGACATTATTCTCAACTTGTTTTGGAGAGAGCCATCTAGGAGGGATAAGCAAGAAAATTAATTATACAGATGCCCCCTTACAGATGGGTTATGTGCTTAACATTGCATGCATAGTCAGGCACACAGCTGTTCAACCTCTCCTCTGCTTCAAATGCCCCAGATTTGCCCTGAATCTTGAAAGTTTACTRAAGTCTTTATACATTTCTGTTTGCATGTAAACCTGCTAGATTTTGAAGTGTTTTACAAGATTTTTTTTTCTTTTATGACACATCCCCCTCACATAACTCCAAACACAAATATCACAAAATGCTAGATGAATTAAACAGTAGCAGTACTTGATGTAGTTTGATAGGGGTAACATTATGACTTTGTACAAAGCTGGATAATGATGATTGCTTGATTTTTGCACCATGCAGATGTCAAATTCTGAATGTGTTCTGAATGTTCTTGTTGCCKAAG